GTTCTGGACCTAAGCGCCAGGTGTGCGCGCTAGGGATCTTTGAAGGTCTGCGTTAGTTTCGCTAGGCTTCTGCTCAGCATCGGGACGATGAAATTGAAAGGGCACTCTGAGAGTGAAGGCGCGGGGTGGCCTCACGTCAGGTGATTATTAAAAGTGCTAATGCGTCCTTGTTTGAAATGGCTTCACTGTGTCCTTGTTTAACCAGACCACCAATTCCCAAAGTGTACTTTAAGTTTTGTGTTTGGTCTGGGTGTGACGTTTTACAAAGTTGCGGTTTATGCCTGCGTATTTTTTTCTCTTGCTCTTGGGCAAACAAAATGAAGTTATGAACTAAAGCATGGAGGACACTAAGCATGGGTATTGATAAGCGCAAAACTAGCCAAAGAATATTTGTCTGCAGAAAAAAAAAAAAAAACAAAAGAGGGTGGGGGATAAAGTATAGCTTTCCAGGTTACTTCCATACAAGAGATTCTTAACAATTTTTACTTTCCTTAAACACAGATGAATCTCACAGCGTGTGGCTACTTCTGATGTGTAAGAGGTCAAGAGCTAGCTTTGATTGTTTTAACTGTTTGGGTCCAGAGAAGTGACTTTCTTGACTCCTCCCTGCGTTTCAGGAACTGGGGTGGGGTGGGGGGTGGGTTGGAGTTCCCTGGGAGGATCCCAGGTTGCTCAGCGGGAATTGAGGTCTGTTAAAAAGACAGCAGCTGCAGCCCTGCTTTCTCTGTGTGCATGCTCTCCTGTTCTTTGTTGGTGAGGTTAGTCCACCACGACGGCAGCAGCAGCGTTCCTTCTCCGAACTGCAATCCGCAGTATCTTTGGGAGTTCAAAGAATGAGTGGTGTTAAACTAAGAATCCAATCATTTTCGGAATCCGTCACCCATGAATTTATTTTGGGATTTAAAAAATATATTAAGGGCATGATGCTTACTTATGTTTTAATACTGGGTTCTCCAGTTTTTGTTACTATTGGGTTACTAAAATTTTTTTTGAGAGAGACTGTACTGTAAGGAAACAGTAGTCTGTAAAATGTGACTTTCAAATTTGTAGTGTAGATTCCCAGTCCAGTGTAATTGTGAGTATTCTTGTAGAAATAAATTGCATTTTGCTGTAGCTTTTGAAGTGTTATTTTGGTGATAAATGAGTCAAGCCAAAGATAAAACAAGCATTTATTTCGACTGACAGAAGTAGGGAGTATTGTAAATTAATGTTCAGAATCGAGCAGCACCCAGACACTCCCACCATTAGTTAATTTGGTTACAGAGGGCCACTCTGATGCAGGCAGGCCCTTTTCTCTTTCCTGAATTCTTAAAAGCAACCTATTATTTTGCTTCCTTCTCTTTAAAATGTCCTTAGATTCTTGGTGGCAGAGAGTGGCAAGTCCCATAATGTCTGGCTAGGGGAAAAACCTCTCAAAGACATGGAGACATCTAGAAAACATTGTCAGCGGTGATTCCATTGTGTGCTCTCAGCTGTGTGCTGAGCCTTCTTCCTCCTGGGAATTTCCCTCTTAAAAGAGAGGATTTCTTTGGCTTTAGATGTCAGGGTACAGAGGCCCAGGCTTCAAGGCCGCTCAGCAGCCATTGATGTGAGTTTAGTGCTTTTGGGGACTTAATAATTTTTTAAAAAATTTAACCCTTCATTGGTTTAATATAGTTTAGATGACTTTTAGTGTGAGAGATCTTTTACTGGAAATAGAAAAGATAGTCAGAGGGGGTCTTGGGATTGTATAAAGGATTGATGCATCTTGCTTCCCCCCTCACCCCCCATAGTTGTATCTTATTAAAGCTGGGTCCCTGGAATCCAGGACTTGTGATCAGGGTTCCATTTTACATGTTGAAGTTAAGAACTCTGCCTAAGCTGTTTCAGACAATAGCAGTTTGCTGTGTGACCATACTTTGACAGCTTGGATTTTTGTTTTGTGTTTTGGTTTTTCCAGACAGGGTTTCTCTGTGGCTTTGGAGGCTGTCCTGGAACTAACTCTTGTAGACCAGTCTGGTCTTGAACTCACAGAGATCCTCTGCCTCTACCTCCAGAGTGCTGGGATTAAAGGCATGTGCCACTACTGCCCGGCTGACAGCTTGGATTTTTTTTTTTTTTTAATTTGGTTTTTCAAGACAGGGTTTCTCTGTGGCTTTGGAGGCTGTCCTGGAAACTAGCTGTTGTAGACCAGGCTGGCCTCAAACTCATAGAGATCCACCTCCCTCTGCCTCCTGAGTGCTGGGATCAAAGGTGTGTGCCACCATCGCCTGGTAGACACCTTGGATCTTTAAGAATGGTTTTTGTCCTATTAGATGCAAAGCTGTTTTTTGAAGCAGTCCTTATATTGTGGAAAAGAAAAAGAAGAAAGAGTGGCCCTTTAAAGAATTTTTAATACAAGGTTAAGGGCGTTGGTGTATCACACTTTTAATCCCAGCACTCGGGAGGCAGAGGTAGGTGGATCTCTGTGAATTCTAGACCAGCCTGGTCTACAGAGCTAGTTCCAGGACAGCCTCTAAAGGCGCAGAGAAACCCTGTCTCCGACAAAAAAACAAAACAAAACAAACAAAAAAAGATTAATTTTCTGAAATTCACAGGTGTCTTTGATATCTTGACCATTGTGTCATAATTGAAATTATATTTTAAAATGTGACTAATGTTTAGCTGTTACTATGACAAAACCAATGTTAAGACATTGCTGGCAGCTTTTTATTATTTTCTGTTTCTGGTTTTGTTTGGTATTATATACTTTACTGATTTTTAAAAAAAACTTATTTTTATTTTATGTGTATTATTTTGCCTGCATGTATGCCTGGGTACTACACATGTGCCTGGTACTCACAGAGGCCAGAAGAGGGTGGTGAATCCCTTGGAAGTGGAGTTAAGGATGGTTGTGAGTTACATGTGGAATCTGGGAACCATACCCTGGTCATCTGGAAAATCAGCCAGTGCTCTTAACTGCTGAGCCATCTTTCCAGACCTGCTATCTTGATATATTATTATTGTATTAATAATAATAATAATTATTTTTTATCTAGACAGGGTTTCTCTGTGTAGTTCTGGCTGTCCTGGAAATCTCTCTTGTAGACCAGGCTGGCCTCAAACTCACAGAGAGCCAGTTGCCTCTGCCTCCTGAGTGTTGGAATTAAAGGCGTGTACTGCCACCACCACCATCTGGCTGCTATATTGATTGTTTTGTTGAGACAGGGTTTCTCTGTGTAGAAGTCTTAGCTGTCCTGGAACTAGCTCTGTAGACCAGGTTGGCCTTGAACTCAGAGATCCATCTGCCTCTGCTGGGACTAAAGGGGTGAACTACCACTGCCCAGCTACTCTATTGCTTTTTTTTTTTTTTTTTGGTTTTTCTAGACAGGGTTTCTCTGTACTGCTTTGGAGGTTGTCCTGGAATGCTCTCTGTAGACTGGAACTCACAGAGATCCTCTGCCTCTGCCTCCTGAGTGCTGGGATTAAAGGCGAGTGCCACCACCACCTGACTGCTCTATTGATTTTTAAATGAAGAAAATACAAGGGAGAAGGAACTAAACTACTGCCTTTCTTGTTGGTCATCATGAAATCAGCAAATCAAGGACTTTCCCCTAGTGAAATGATACTTACTTACCTAGCAATAGCAAAAGCTGTGGAATGGAAAGCAAAACATTAGTTTTTCACCTTCTTTACCCCGGGTGTCCCTTCTAAATGGAAAGGATGTTCTTAGTGTTTATGCGCTTATTTCTTTTTTTGTTTTCTGCATCTTGAAGAGCTTAGGATTTGCAAAGGGGAGACGGGACACCATTGTCACACCACTCTCTAAAGCCTCTTAAAGAGTGCCTTCTGCAAAAGCTGCAAAGTACAGTTCAGTGTCACAGACTCGTAATTCAGACAGCAGGAGGAAAACATGCACTTGATGGGTTCTAGATGACACTTTCTGGATAGAGGCGACAATATTACTTCTGTGCCTGTTCTAGAAGTCTATGTAATTTTCCTAGTTGTCGTAAAAATGATAATAAAAAGGAGTAGGCATCTTAAAGGTAAATGAATGTCACTAGAAGTAAGACTGGCTAGTTGGTCTGCAGGTAGAGCTCAAGACTTTCGGCTTCTAGAGCAAAGATTCTCTGTTTACCAACTCATGTCGATCCTTCACAACATTTCTGGCTTCAGTGACTATTTTAGGACAGTGGTCATTTGGCTCCCTGGTTGGAACTATCTAGCAAACGTAAATGAGCATAGGACCCTATGGTATTGCTTAACTTAGCTACTTTAGAGGTGTTTGGACTTGTGTCAGTAATCAGGAGGAGGCCACAAATAGGTAGATTTCCTAACTAGCTAAATGTAGTACAAATCTTCATCTAGGTGGCAGTTGACAGATAGAAGGAAAATTAGCTGTTAACTCTGATGGAATTTATGCCTCAAGCCAGTGAATTCTAGTCTGTTCTGTCCCCATGTTCAGCAGAATCCTTATTTGGGACTTTGTATGTAGGCCTCTCTGCATTCTTTTTCCCCCTTTAGCCATTGTTTCATTCATTTGTTCACCTGGTCATTTGGTGGAAACTTGTCTGTTCTGACCTTGTCAGTGTTTTTGGTTTCAGAGTCAGCTACTAAAAAGGGACCATAACCTGGGTGATGGTCACCTTCCTCTTTCCCTTGCATCCTTGTGGTAGAGAAGAAAACATATGCCTTCCTTTCATCTTGGTTTGGCTTATCAGTCTTTTCTTTTGTATGTATAATGTGATTTTAAGTATTTACTACCTAACCAATTCTACTTTGACTTGGGATTGTGTTATCTTTTCCTGAGAATGGGATTGTGTTTAGGATAAAAAAGTTGTGGGGTTTGAGGTTGGCTCAGTCAGTAATGTGTTTACACTGTAAGCTTGAGAATCTGAGTTTGGATTTCTAGTACCCATGTAAAAGCCTCTTGCATCTGTATTCTTAGTGCTTGGGAGCAGAGACGTGCCAAAGTCAGATGGAGAACGAAATGGAAGACACCCAATGTTGAGCTCTGTCCTTCCCATGCACACAAATACATATGCTCACATACCACCCCCAAGTTATTTAAATATTCCCTTGATGGGACCACAGTTTTTGTAGTTAGAACATGGCTGACATAGTACTATCCACCTCTAGGCCTTTTGATGAGTATTTCATTCTTTTGATTCTGGCCACAAAT